CCCCAAAACCCCAAAACCCCAAAACCCCAAAACCCCTATTATCTCGGTTTAAGAAAACTAGTAAAATTTATATAATTATTAGCTAAAATGAACTCAAGAAAGATTATCAGGGCAAGGTAATAATATTTTTCTAGGTGAGAGCCTATGATATCACCTCTCCTGAAGCTTTTAGGCTAAAATAAACCATAAGCCTATGAATTTGGTTAAAATGTTGGTATAGTGAGACTAAACCCACCCATAATGACCAAGAAATTAAAGAAAGAACAAACCAATTCTGAACAGGTAATTGATGACTTTAAGATGAAAAATAATTTTCAACACTTTGTATTTTAAGAACATACTATATTTATAAATCAATTAACATTAGACAAGAACGATAGCCCTAATATTGCTCTTAAGCACATTAAATATCTCTATCCTAGTTCACATTAGACCCATATGACTTGTCAATTTCACCCTAAATCTTCCAAATCTACCCCTTAACCTCTCCTCTATTTCCTTTAAGACTCCGTTCTCTTCTGCTTCGACCTCCTCTTTTCTAATTCCTTACCTCCACCAGTCCTTCACTTCTCCACCCCATCATTCCCTCCTTAACCCCCACTTTCTAGGTTTCCTTAAGTCATTCTGACTCTGCTGTAAGCCAACTAAACAACTGAGCAAGCCAAACAGGATTTCAGCACTTAAGAAATCTGATAACAGTAAGTGACTGGTACTCTTGATCCCCAATCCTCCTATTCTTTCACTAACCTCCTTCCTTAGGCCTGCAAGGAGAGTCTCTCCAAAGCTCCAAGACTATGAAAGGTACTTTCTTCTTCAACCTTCTTAGAGGACTTCAAACTGAGCCATAACTTCCAAGATTTCTCTGAAGACTCGCCTTCTTCACCAGAGGAAATGAATTTTAGCAAACTCTTCAGCGTAGTTAAATAAAAGAAAGAATTCTATCATCTACAAGAAAATGAAAGCTAATAAAAGAGCCGTTGCACCTAAAGAAAAAGAGTGCTTAGAAAGCATCATGGAAGTCGACAAGGAAAGCTCCATTCCTTCTACATTTAGTAAGTTTACTGAAGTGGTTCATCTGGGTTTTTGACTGCCATTTGAGATGTAAAGTTATGGAATTATACTTAATTTTATACACAAAAATATGTAAATATAAACAGCTAATTTGCCTTCTGAGGAATCTAAAAAAAGTGGTATTTTTAGGCTTTTGGGAACTAAACTTGTCATATAGAATCCAAAATACTAGAGTCTATGTTGTGAACGCCAGCAAAGTTTGACAAATACTTCTCTGAGGTATGTATCGTAATCTTTCTGCATCATGGTCTCTAAATTTATAAATCTTCTAAAAAGAAGTGACTTATTCTTAACATAATAATAGGTAGATCTGAAACGAAAAAGAACATTAATGACAAGTAAAAGAAATCTTGAAGACATTAAAGAATTTGAAAAGATACTTAAGGAGATTAAAGATACTCCAACCTCAGAGGAGAATGTTCTCAGTAGTATTTCCTTAAAGAAGAGGAGTCCTTCTATTAATAAGGCATCTCCAGTTAAAAAGTAGCTTATTTTTCATTTCTAATAACTTGGGTCGGATGCATATCCTTCATGATTTAAGATAGAAGAATTCTTAGTAACAAACTTAGAGGCAATAGACTTAGGAATTAAGACTGGGCTAAACCTTTCTAACGTCACACATTCTATTGATATTTTCAATAAATATTTGCTAAAATGGGGTTTTGGGGTTTTGGGGTTTTGGGG